CAAATAGACACAAGCAATACCATTACTTTTTATTGACTCAGGATACTTTTTGGGAGATGGAGCAGCAGACAGACTGTGTGTGGGGGAGGGCTGCACAGACCCTGTGGGTCATGTGTCTCTTACCTGTGCCATACAGTCATCATTATTACAGAACTTCTTACAGTGACTAAAGCTGTTCTCAAAATAATTGTTGCTAAAAGCCAGCTCATGCTCTAAGTATACAGCTGGCTCGCAAGGGCAATTGTTGCTGAACAGCCGCAAAGTCATCCTGGGCAACAATCCTGAGCACATTGAACTTGTCAACAGTACAGTTGACTTCTGAGTGGACATATCTAGGATTGCAATGTTAATTATTAACTTGTAATTATGCATTCCATTAAAATTTCTTTTATACACCAAGGGAATGTTTTTCTACATTTGCCAATATCTACTAAATACTAATTGAATATTTGCCCACATATTAGATATTACCAGAATTACAACACCTGCCTACCCATGTTTGATGTCAGAATTTGGATAGTTGAAACATAATCAAAACCTTGACACTGAACAGGAGAAACTGAGCTGAAGATAACATGGGATTAAAATCTTAGGAAAAAGGCCAAAATTAAAACGATAAATTTGGTTATTTATTTATTTATTTATTTATTTATTTATTTATTTATTTATTTAGAGCATTATTCCTGTGACATTTTGGGAATGTAAGCACTCTAAGGTTTAGCTGTGGAATAGACCAAAATTGGAACTTGGGGGACCTAGTTAAATCTGTCAGTAGGGTTCTCCATGGAATAAAGGCCTTCCTTTCCACATGACTGGTCCAAGTAATGGCAAATGGATTTTTTTTCCCAGTGTGACAAATATGCTATCCAAACATAAGGAATGGAGTGGGAACATAGACTTGTTTTGTGATGGCATCAGAATGGTACAAGAGCTGTATTATTTTTCATTCATCAACTGGCAGGTAGAGAGGTAGAGCCACATTATCTGTAAAGATTTCATCTTTCTGTGGTAGAGTTCAAAGAGGGTACTTGCTGCTGAGCATTAGGTTAAACCAGACTTTTGTCTACTGGCTCAGTGACTCAGATTACACTGGCCATCCTGGATTTGGTGGTGAAGTTTCCCACAATGCTCTGTGAGACTTTAGTATTCCTCACCTTTGGCTCAGGTGAGAGAATTTTTGCAAGGCCTAGTATAGATAAAATTTCTTACATCCAGTCTGATGTGGTTGCTATGCCAGTAATATTTTCCAAAGTGGATGCATAATTGTGTCTTATCATCATGTTCCCTTGGATAGTTTTCACTTTATGTCTTCCCCAGCCATTGACAGGATGCTTGTGGAGATGTTTCAAACCACACATTTGTTGAATCTTTGCCTCTTCTGACTAATAAAATTTTGTAAAAAGAATTGCTTTCTGGATACAACAGCATTTTCAGTTATTATTAAGTATAATTTAGGTGTTCTATAAAATTTTAAATGATCATAGGGAAGATGTCTATACCTCTTAAGAACGCAGTTATCCATCTGCTCCCTGGGGGATGTTTGAGTGTCAATGACCCAGTAAATCACAATCTAGTATCTGATCTGCCGTTTCCAAGCAACATAATTGAACATATGGTTGCTTAGCAACTCCAGGCATACCTAAATGATAAAAATATTCTTTATCTTTGAGCTAGGCTTTTGTCTCAGGCTTTACAACAATAACAATAACAACACAAAACTTGTAACTCTTGATGCAGGAGGCTATTTTATACTGTTGGAGAAGTTACAGAATTTACTAAGCATGGTGGGACTTGACCTAAAATACAGGCTGTCAGCCAGTGAACAAGTTATTGGACTGGATGATGTATGCAAAAGGAAGTGATAGAACACATTGTACCACTCCAGAATGCATTAACCCCCCACCGCACCCCCTGGCAAACAGAAAAGCACCTTATGAGGCAAAGGACTGGGCTTCAAGTTTCTCCCTGATGAGTTTATAGGCGGAAATCATCCAGTCTCTTGCATCACTTCAGCAGCCAATTGCTCCATCTGCTATATTTTTAGACCTGGCCCTGGTTAATGCATCATATGAATGGTAATTAATTGATTAAATTGCAATAAATAAAGGTAAAGAAAGTTTCTGCTTCAGAGTTATGCCATTATAATTCTGTAACAGAATAGCATAATCTTAGAAGAGTCATTTTGTTGCTTTTAAACTAGAAAAGAGGAGGGGGGTTGCATTTCCTAAGATAAGACCAGTCACCTTCATGTTTGGTAAATGCTTGTAGTAAAGACCTTTATTTAAAAAAAAAGTAAAAACTGCTGACTGATTCATCTGTTTAACTGATTTCAACCATTTAACCAATTAAGAGTGCAATCCTGTACATATTGTAGACCTTCTTGGACAACATTGGAAGGAGCGGATGCTTGCATAATTGATGATGCATGTTACGTGTTTTACATGTTGCTCTCCTTCAGGACTGTTTGAAAACTTCAGCTGGTATGAACTGGGGCAGCCCATCTATCGACAAATGCATGGTAGTAGTGATAAAAACAAAACAAACAAGGCAAAGGAAAAAATCCCTGTTGAGCCAATTCTCAGGCAACCTACTTGCTTCTGGGATCAGTGGAAGGAGCTGGTGATGCAAAGAGTGAGTTCCACCACCCCTTCTAAATGCCTGAAGGAGCATTGAGGTCTCCCACCTCTCCTTTTGATTGGCTTCATCCTCTGACCTCAGCTGAGGAGCTTCAACCTGGTGGCTGCTTTTAGAGAAGACTGTGCTACACTTCTGCTCACCCTGCCCCTCACCCCTGCTGCTGCACAGGATTTATTGCAGGCAGCTTTACGGCACGAATAATGCTCTTTATTGCAGTTGGGAAGGTTTTATTGCTAAATTTGGGATTTTGTATACCAGGCGGACCTCTGCAGCACTGGCGTGATCAGCCTGTGTCTGGACTGTATCCTTCACAATGCATAATTGACTGCCTCTCCGTAAAACCTTCCTCCTCCCTCAGTCCCTCCAACATGAAAGAAAGTGCATTGAGTTGCCACCCTTCTCCCAGGCGTGCTTAAGTTCCCTGCTGTGTGAGGCTTGGCTTATGGAGGAGTGGGCAGATGTGGGAGCTTCCATCTGCAGACTGACACTGTAAAGCCCAGAGACCAATTTACTACTGTACTCTGAACTGTGCTTCACTGCCATGTGCAGTGAATAAATAAATAATAATATGAATAATAAAAAATAATAATATGAATAGTCAATGGATGCACTCTTTGGAGATGGTAGAAAGTATCTTATTTTTCCAGCTACAAAACCCCACAGTTTGTCTGAGTTGTCCACAAAGTTATATACCTGCAGCACTCCCTTGACAGCAGATTTGGCCTATGCGCAACAAATGAGGAAATAATGCATTTCTGTTGCTCAGAATAGTCTGCGTATCCCCAGGTACAGACAGAATATTCACTAACCCTCAACCATTTCTTCTAGCCATTCAGACATCATACATACAGCCATTTTGTAGCTCTCCTTTCCTGTTTTTCATTCACATGCAGAAATATCTCCAAGTCCTAAAGGAAAGGAAAACCTCCCCACATCTTACAGGAAGAAAGAAACTAAACAGGGTGTTTGAATCTGGTGATGTGGACAAAATTTGGAACTGCAAGGTATGGAAGTTATTAAGAGACAAACCCAATCTCCTATTTGGATCAGTGGTTGTCAGAAGTCAACCTTTCCAACATTTCCCCAGATACGTCATTTTGTGACCAGACAGGGAGGGAAATGGCAACTGAAAGGGTCAGGAAGAAAAGGTCAGCAATCTCATCTGCGGGGGGCGGGGTGAGAGAGAGAGAGACGCCATGTGATTTGGGCATAATGGGAACACCCAGACATGTAGTGACTCTCTACATGATTTACTCTCCACAGCTGGACTGCCCTACTGTGTAACATCTCTGTTTCTTGGGAATTTGTCAGTGCAGTGTAGAGCTACAAGGATGGTGACAGGATTGCAGGAAAAGTCACATGAAGTGAGACTGAGGGAACTGGGTCTTTTCAGCCTGGAGAAGAGGAGACACCAAGGGGTTCTGTTGGCAACATATAGGTATGTGAGGGGGTGTCATACAGAGGTGGGTAGAGACCTGTTTCCCCTGCAGAGGAGGGCAGGATTCATTCTAATAGAGCAAAGCTCAGGGAACCAAGGTTCAGTTTAGATGCCAGAAGTACTTCCTGACAGTTAGGACCCCTAGGGGATGGAATGGGCTTCCACGGGAGGTGGTTGAAGCTCCAACAGTGAGGGAGTAAAGGATAGGCTGGACATGCACATGGTAGGCATGTCATGAACAGAGCCAGCTGGAGCCAGGGGCCAGACTAGATGGCCTAGGAGGCCCCTTCTGACTTGCTCTGTTTCTATGAATTCTGGAGGCTCATGCAGAAAATGGCTGAAAGCGACAGAAATCACAGGTATCACTGCCTTTTTTTTCCCAGCACAGCTGTTTCCGGTCTCTTCCTCCCTTCCATTCCTCTGCTCTCCCCAGTCCCAAAACCTAGGGGAAATGTACTAGCTGGGAAAGAAGGGGAGATAAACAGTGGGTGGAGAAAGACAGCCAATGACATCCACTTCACTGTTATGCATGATTTCTACCTCTTGCAGCTTTGGCTGTCATGGAGCTAATATTCAGTATCTCTCTGAGAGACTGCAAGACAAGCACTCTTGCAGGATATTCTGGAATATAAATAAACCCTGTGATTATTTATATTCTTCTATCCAGAGCTACTGCCCATGGGAACAAAATACAAAGCCTTCTCTCAGGCTGTTCGCACATTCTGATATTCTCTGAAAAAGAAGCACTCCTAGAATGGGTGTATATTTAAGGAGGAATCCAAGGATGATCCTTTGAGCACTGTCAAGGAGAAAAGATGTTCCTAACTCAGTGATGCACATCAAAGTCTTCTCACAGCAAAGTGCAGAGCAGGCAGAGGCACAGGGAAAAAACAGAGCAGAACAGTCCACACTTTGGCATTCTTACCTTATTTAAGCTGCGTGCAGCGCTATCTTTCCCACCAGGTGTCAAGTTCCGCAGCTGCACATCCAACAAACCCACCAACTGATCCATTGCCCGAACTGAGTAGGTGACGTCCCCAGCATTCAGGTGGTTTTTTGTTTGCTCAGCAAGTTCTCTAGCAACATTGGCAGCTGTCTCTCCCGACTTCAACTATAGTTTAAAGAATATGAGAAAATGTCAAGATGTATCACTGTCTTGGCTAAAAGGACTTTGTATTTGCACATTATGGGGGAGGACATGCAGAGCGGCTCTCTTTCACCTAGTCTTTTCAAATGTTCAAAGCCTTTCACGTATCTTATATGCTTTGAGCATTGCCTAGCAATGGTGACACATGCTCTGGTAGCCTCTCCGTTGGACTACTGTAACACGCTCTTTGTGGGGCTGCCCTTGAAGACGGTCCGGATACTTCAATTGGTGCAAAACAGAACTGCCAGATTGCTGTTGGGGGCCGGTCGCTATTCTCATATAACGCCGGTCCTCTACCAGCTACAGTGGCTCCCCATTGAAGTCCGGGCCCAATTTAAGGTGCTGGTATTGACCTATAAAGCTCTAAATGGCTTGGGACCAGGATACCTGAAGGAATGTCTTTTTCCCTATACGCCCTCCTCCGGGAACCCTCCTTGAAGGAGATTAGGAGACAGAATACCCGGAGGAGGGCTTCCTCTGCGGTGGCACCCTGGCTGTGGAATGTGCTCCCCAGAGAGGTTCACCTGGCACCAACGTTATATGCTTTTCGACACCAGGTTAAAACCTTTTTTATTTACCCAATATTTTAAAGCTTAAATATTTCAATCAGGTTAAAATGTTCATGTTACATTAATGAGATGTTAATAACATCCTCAGTCATATTTTATCTTGCTATTGCTTGTTGTACTGATTGTGTATTTATCACATTGTAAGCTGTCCAGAGATGATTGGTATAGGATGGAATAAAAATATCATAAATAAATAAATAAGTATGTCTAGTTGCAATTCTACTATAAGGCAAATTATTATCAAAATTATCCCACATGCACTCTGGAACCCTGCATGAGCTTTTCTGCTGAACGGGACTTGACATTAGAATCTTTTATCATGTGATAACTCAGAGCAGTACTTTCATATACTGGTCACCCCAGAGAATGGTTGCTGGAGAGCAGTAGCTCATTGGCTCTCCCCTCATGCCACAATTTTGGTCCTTGCTTTGACGGATAGATAGAGTTCTAGTTAACACAAAACAATTCATACATGGCTTGAGTATGGCTAAAGTAATACATTATCTATTCATATCCTGCCTTTCCACCAAAACTGCTGCTCAAGGCATCCCAGAGTAATAAAGACCAGCTTACAAGCAAAATCTTAATTAAAACATAATCTAAAAAGCAGATAAATGCAACAATAGAATAGTGGCAACCAGCCAATTAAAATCCTATTCAGCAACAGCCATTGTATAAGCTAGAGGCTTTGCTCAGGAAAAGAGTCTCTGCTGGCGGTGGAAGGACAACTGAGAGGGAGCCAATGTGCATGGCAGGGAGTTCCAGAACTGAGGAGCGGCCACTGAGAAGGTCCTCTCTTTGCCCCACAAAATGATTGCGTAACTAGGTCAGACTAGATGGCCCAGGAGACCCCTTCTGATTTGCTCTGTTTCTATGAAGAGGTAAATTTCTGTCAATTTGACCTGTACCACCTCAGAGTGCAGGAAGGGCTCACACGATAAAAAAGAATCTTTTCCCATACAAAATAGTTCTGAGTGCACAGAAACTAGCACTCTCAAGGACAAGGCTAGGCTTGAGTCCTCCCTAACAGGCAGTGTTCTCTCTCTCTCTCTCTCTCTCTCTCTCTCTCTCTCTATCTATCTCTATCTCTCTCTCTCTCTCTCTGTGTGTGTGTGTGTGTGTGTGAGAGAGAGAGAGAGAGAGAGAGAGAGATTCACTAATATGATCCCATCCTCCCCCCTCCCCCCGCCAATACAGTGGTACAGTCCAGGTACAGGTTTATCTCCTTAGCAAGTATTAGGCTTCTGGGGGTGCTTCTAGACATGGTTTTATTGTCTCATTCAGGGAGTCCAGATGTCATGGTCACCAGTGCAAAACCTTCCTGTCTTTTCCCCACCTTTCCTTACCTTTTTTCTTACCAGAAAAAAACAAGTTAAGTGAGAAAAAAACCGGATTAGTTAATTAGTTGCTAGTGCTGGGAGCTCTCCATCTAGAACAGGGCTGCCTCTACCTGGGTACACATTGCCCTCTCCTCCATGGTGGGCACCAGTGTTCAGCACTAATTTTGATGGTGTGCTAGCAGCACCCCCCACCCCCCAAAGTGTGTGAGAGAACTGGCAGCTTCCCACTGTAATTCAGCTTTGGAATGCTGCAGAATCACTCAAAGGGCACGTCTGGGTTGAAAATGGCATGCACGTGATGGGAGGGTCCAGCTGCCTCAGGCTGCCCCCAGGGGCTTCGGACATGATGCACGTGTCTGTGCTGGGGCAGCGGGAGCAGGATGTGCATGCAGTGGCTTGTGTGTTTTCCTCTTTCACTGAAGGAGGCAAAAGAGATGCAGACAATCTCTTCTGGAAGAAACTGAGATTCACAGAAACAGAACATACACAATCAGAATCGGACTTCAAAATTATGCTGTCTGCGACCTCTCACCCTGGTTTCCATTACAAATCATATAGGGAATTCAAACATAATAAAAATATTTTCAAAAAATCCTGCAGGCATACAGAGGATGGGAGAAAGACTAAATATTATCTGAGTCTAGTTCAAATAATAGGCGTTTTGCCTCAGTATCTATTGATTTATCATCTTCTCAGTTGCATCATAAATGAAGCAAGAATGAGGCAATAGGAAAGGAACTTAATGGAAGACAAGAAAAGCTTTAAAAAAGTAATTTGGATATTAAAGAGTATAATATGTGGAACGTCGATTTAATTTAAAGAGATGTGGATGTATGGGAAATTGTGAGGCCCTAGTTAAATTGATACCATTTTAGATGGATTGTGAACAATATAAATGCAGTTCATTTTGAAGAAGATGCAACATACTTTCTTAGCAGTGTATAGGACTGAAGAGGGTATTTCTTTACATTGTGCTCACACAGAGTTTTCCATTTACACATTGACTAGGTTTGCATGTCAAAACAAACAACCCCGCATGGTTTCCATGGTCCACAGTGTTTTCCTGAGTGTACTTGACAGACAATCAAGTGGTTTCTATTCTAGCATACTTACCACCCTCCTGTCATGCGCATGCACTCAGAAGAGTCCGTTACGGGCGCACAAGAGGAGGAAACTTCCCATGAGAACCAGAGTGTTGATGAAGAGCTATTTCTGGTGTCAGCAGAACCATCTTTACTCCCCAACTGCACAGATAATGGGAATGAGAATAAGCTAGGTAAGAGGGCTCAAGGGGAAGCCAAAACAGAGGCGCGTCAAGAGGCCAATTTGGGAGTAAATGGGAAAACAGTCTCGCAAGCTTCCGATATGGAATGTGAGAACCAAGGAAATAAGGGGCAAGGGGCTTTTGACGATGATCGTTCTCGCAGGCGCATGCGCAGACTGGGACAGCTAGAATTGAGACTGACTGAGTGACACAAAGAGAGGGGTCACAGCATCCCGCCCTTGGAGGGGCAGCCCCAAAGGATTTATAAACCCAGTGTAGGTTGAACTTAGTTAGAACAAGAGGGCAACTTTCTAGCCAGCATGACTGTAATTGTAATACTGTTCAGAATAAAGACATTTGTAGTATCAACTGGAGTGAATGCTTTCATTGGGAAGGAGCGCCAGCCACACAACACATCCTTGCTCAGTCTTCCCACAGTTGGCACATATCCCATCAGCCACTACACCTGAAATTCAATCCCACACTGGATGGAAGAGCAGCTCCTGAAGCTGACAGCATTCCCAGGGGACTCTGGTAGCTGCACATCAAGACCTTGGAGACTATGATGCTGGGTTTGGATGATGGGGGAAACCATGGTGAAGTGTGGGAACCACAGAAGAGACCATTGCTTTTTATCGTGGTTTTTCAAAACCAAATGTGCCATGTTGAAATACCATGGAAGGGTTTGGAAGACTCAAGAGACCATATTGTGCAAGAAACCACCATGGCTTGTTGTGTCATGCAAACCCACCCTCTGTGTGCTGTGGACTGATCTGCAGAAAATTTCAAGGTAGAGAAAATAACTGATACGGTATTTCTTGGGTCGTAACTTCATTTGGATTATTGCATCTATGAGGAACAGTAAAGAGTCTTGCAGCATCTTGGCTAAAAATTGCAAGCTAGTGGAATGTAAGTAGAAAGGGACTGTAAAGAGAACCTTCTGTGACAATTCAGTGACAATCAGAACATTTGCAGAACAAGCAGTGGTCAGGCCAGAGTGAGACAGCCCGGCACCAGAAGGGAGAGGAAGCGCTACTGCCCCCACCCCTCCACTCCCCTCCGCTCCCTTCCCCTCCCGCTTCACACTGATCAGGATGGTACGCAGCAGCAGCCACCACTGTCCCTGCTCTTCTCCCTTGGGCAGCAGTGGCATGCTACCGATCTTTGGAGTGTACCTGGGCCATGGCAGAGTTGTTCTAGGCCTTGCTCTGAAATGAGACATGGGGCAGACAAGTTTGGCTCCCATCATCTCTGCAAAATTCCACCCCCCCCCCACAAACATCAAATTCAAGTTTGGAAAATTTCTCCATTGTTACAATGGAGACTGTTGCCACACTTAATGAAGTGAGGAGTGTGGGAAGGAGGGAAAAGCTGTCATCACCCATCAGGGCACCCTGGCCATGGGGTGGTGCCAGGGAAGAGGGGATGGAGACAGGGAACAAGTAGATGGGCTGAAGAGGGACTCCACAGGGGGTTGCCAACTCATACGTATTTGCCATGCACAGTTACAATTCCTCTCTGTGTGTCTGTGTTGTGTGTAAAGCTGAGGATGCACTTTTGTTACATGACTGTTGGTTTTGCTGTAACAAGCAAACAGTTACCCCTCTGGAAACTCAATCCAGCTATGTAGAAGGAAAGCAGAGTTAAACTGAAGCAAAGAAAAACAGAAAAAAAATCCAAGCCAAGGTGAAAATATCTGAAAACAGTATCATTCATACAAGAAAAATGGAGGTCAAAGAAACACAGAAACAGAGTGAGTCAGAAGGGGCTTCCTGGGCCATCTGACCCCTGGCTCCAGCTGGCTCTGCTCATGACATGCCTATAGTGATATGAAGTTTATATGTTAGTAGATATATTATTAGAGCAGAGATCATTGTTTTAGACCAAGATTGTGATGTAAAATAAGTTGCATAGAGGCCATAAGTTGTTTGCTCATTAGCAAAAACAAGATCAGAAGATCTCCCTAAATTGTCATGGAGTTCCGTTAGTAATAGTAGCTTTAAACCACAAAGGTTTACTCTAGGAAGAGCAGTGCGCAATGACCATTTGCATGATGTTTCTGTAAACTGCGGAAGTATTCTGATCCTAAATAAATGCAGCTTCAATTTATTGTTCCTAGACCAGGGGTCCTCAAACTTTTTAAACTCTGGGGCCAGTTCACTGTCCTTCAGATTGTTGCGGAGGGCAGACTATAGTTTGAAGAAAATATAAACGAATTCCTATGCACAATGCACATATTTTATTTGTAGTGCAAAAAAACAGGAAAAAACAATACAATATTTAAAATGAAGAACAATTTTAATCAACATAAACTTATTAGTAGTTCAATGGGAAGTATGGGCCTGCTTTTGGTTAATGAGATGGTCAATGTCCAGTTCCATATTCGCTCCTCTCTTCTGTATTCTTGCTCCTCTCTTCTGTATTCAGAGCCAATGCATGTGTGCAATAGGAGGAAGAGCCAGCATGTGAGCAATTCACACTGGCAAGACCAGCACGGCAGCAGGAGCTAGCCAGAGCTAGCAGAGAGAGCCAGCGCATGGGCTGTTGAAAGTTGCTGTTACAGTTTGGCGTGTGTGCTGGCTCTCTGCTAGTCTCTGAAACTGAAAGAGTTTTGGAGTACGCCTGCGCCGGCACAGAGATTTTGGACTCATTTGGAAATTGTTTTGTCCATACAAGTTTGAAAGCTCTGAGCCGGGTGGGGTAAATGACCTTGGCAGGCCATATCTGGCCCGCAGGCCTAAATTTGAGGACCCCTGTCCTAGACAAACACAAAACGCTAAAAAAACAAAGTGTAACCTACAGGAAGAAACTAATGACAACAATAGGAAAATAAACAATAATTTAACAAACAATCAGAAAGTTATATTTATCAGTTCAGACACACATTCATTCCTCCCTAGAGCCAACTTAATGTGTCACAAAAGAATCTGCTCCAGCCAATAAAAATAAAGGTCTGTTTAAAGAAAACATCACATTAGGAAGTCCTCAGCTTAGATATCATGTAAATTAGCACCATTGCTAGTATTGACCAGTATTATCAATACATGCACAGGAGGAAATGTTCCAGTATTACCAATACATGTACATTAGCTATCTAAAACTAGGATCCACCAATTAGCACAACTGATTAAAATATCAGGCATTCCATTCATCTCAGTAGTCTTGCCTCTTTTTAACAAACGTGTGATCTCTTCACCAGTAACTGACTCTCAATGTGGGAAGTCTAAATCATTGACTAGCAGCTGGTCAAAACACCAAGCCTCATCGCTATAGTGTGAACAGGATCTGAAGCTTCTCTGTTTTTGCTTGCTTTTTTAATATTAGAAAGGAAGTCTGTAGCTCCCATATAAAAACATGGGATTTGCCGCCTTAATTAAAAGGTTTATTATGCCACCTGTTTAGAACCATTCTGATGAATTTTGTAAAGCAAAGGAACATCTTCAAAGGGCATATCCTCAGAATAACAGGAACTTATGAATTTAACATATGATTTGATATGAAAAGGTTAATAATTCATCTACAATTCATGCAGGAAAACATAAATGCATTAAAATAAATAAATATGTCTGTGACCTATGTCCCAGACAAGTCTATTTTCATATCATTGCTTTAATAAAAAGGAACAAATTAGCTGTTCAAAACCCTTCCAGAAGTCTACCTGGCGTTATGACCACTGCTGAAATTATATTAGTACTTCATTAAGTGGGAACGACAGCTGCTCTTTCAAAAGAAGTGAAGCCTGCTGGAGGGCTACCACTACCAGGGACAACACCTGGATGAGGCTGTCTTCTCTTCTCCCCGCCCCTGTAGGTCTCCCCTAATGACAGAGAACTGAGCTGAAGGGCAAGGGGCAATTTCTGTGGCTGGGGGAGAATTTTCATTGTTTGCCTCTTACTGCTTGAGAAAAGACACAGATAACTGGAAAAAAACGGTTCCTTTATACCCCTATCAGTTCAACACGCCCCAGAAACCAGCAACAGCCCAAGAGGAGCAGCTTGGGAAAACACACGTGTGCGTGCATGCCTGTGCCTGCACACACACACGTGCGCACATGTGTCCATGTATGCACAGGCATGCCTATCTGTTTAACTTATTTTAACAATTAATGTTATTCACTTCAGTCATGGGGTATCTAATTTATTTATTGTTTGGGATATGTACACTTTATTTATAGATTTTATTGTAAGTCGTCCAGAGATGAAAGTTATGGATGGCCTAGAAATATCATAAATAAATAAATAGACTTTAAAAAAACAATGGGCTGAAACTACAAAAATGAACTCAGCAAAAAAAGACATAAAGTCTGAATTTAGCTATAAAAGAACAATGATAAAAGACACAGGTACAGAATAAGGAAACCTGGCTTGGCAGCAGTCCTTGTGAAAAGGACCCATGTGTCTGATCAGATCACAAACTGAATAAGAAGCAGTAGTGGGATATGGCTGCTAAACGTTAATGCAATGCTGGCCTGCATTAACCAAAGTATAGTGTCCAAGTCACAGAAAGTGACCATTCTTTTCCATTTTGAATTAGTCAGGACACACTTGGAGTACTATGTCCATACTGGGACATCATATTTTGGACGTTGACATGTGCCCAAATAATATTGACTAAGATGGTTACGAGTTTGGAAGCCACTTTCTGTGAGATATGGTGGAAAACGCTGGATACAATTTGTCCAGAGCAGAGAAGAAGAAGGCATCTTCTAATACCTGAAAGGCTGCCATGGAGAAGATGGATCAAACTTTTTCTAGTTGCTCCTGGATCAGGACTAGGGCCAATGGGTAGAAGTTGGAGGGAAACTGATTTTGGCTAAGCAAACTTACAGTGAGAACTTACTTACAGTGAGAGAACCTCAACAGTGGAATAACTTCCTCAGGAGACAGCTGGTATTCAGGGGAGATATTTAAGGAGAGGCTAGAAGACTCTTTGCTAGAGATGTGTACAGTTGCATACATGGAGAACTGAGATATGTGCATTTACAATACCCTGTGTGCAAATGGCAGTTTCTACAGTTTGGACCTTTTGAGAAAATGGAGTCTGAATATCTGTTGGATATCTGCACGAACAGGTTCATGCTGTTCACAATATTTTACGTTATTCATAATACCTGGTTCAGCACATTCCTTTGGCCTCACTGCAGATCCAGCTGAAAGTGTTCATCAAATTGTGGCCCTGCTTGAAATTGTGATTTGTCTCTTTCTTCCAGGTGGCAGGGCGAGCACATTCCTTCATGATATCCGGTGAATGTACAGGCATTTATGCACATTCTCCAAGCAATGTGCCTAACAATCCTGACATATATAACATAGTGAAGCTTTAAGTTCTTTAAAGAACGTAAGAAGAGCCCTGCTGGATCAGATCAGAGATCCACGGAGTCCAGCACTCTGTTCACCCAGTTGCCAACCAGCAGCCTGCGGGAGACCCACAGGCAGGACATGAGTGCAAGAACACCCTCCTGCCCATGTCCCCAGCAACCAGAGGTAGCACACGGCCAGTGGGACTAGTGGCCATTGATAGCCTTACTCTTAATTTGTCTAAGCCCCCTTTAAAGCCATCTAAGTTCCTTAGTTTAAATACGGGCTCTCTGAAGAAGTACTCCCTTTTATCTCTGCAGTTTATATGTGAAATTAGTTCGTTCTGTCTGTCTGTCTTTCTGGCCCCAGTGGGCATCACTTTACACTCACTCACGCTGAACCACATCTTCCATTTTGAGACCCAATATCCCAGATTGGAAAAGTTTTTTTGGAGCACTTCGCAATGCCTTTTTCAGCCACCCTAAATAGTTTTGTGTCCTCACAGTAACTTTAGTCACCCCAGTGCTCACTCCTAATTCCAGACTATTTATGAACAAATTAAAAACAATGATGCCAACAGAGTTTCTTGTTGGACCCAGCTGTAATCCTCCACTAGGAGAATGCATTTGTTCTCCCACTGGAGGATATATTTCCATTTTCAGTTTTCTATTCTGTAACCAGTTACTGATCCGTAACAGAACTTCTTTTATTTCATGACTGCTAAGTTTGCTGAAGGGACTTTTGGGTTTTCTTCCATGTTCCCTGTCTTGAAAGATGTACAAAATGTATTGGTTTTATTTAATGGGAATTTTCTTGAGGAGATCAGACAAGCCTGACAATTATATGAAGGCTCACAGTTGCTACTGGTTTTACTTATTTTTGACTACCATTTTATTTATGACAAGGAGGAAGTCATAAAGTAGTTGATCCTCCTCTTCTTTCTTATGTTCCTCTGACATCCATTGTTCAATGCTTACTTTTTTTTCAGTCAGTTGTGCATAATCACTGGATCTAATTTACAGTCATAAGATATGATGAGATGTTCTGAGTTTTCAGGTCATTTACTGGGACTGGTCAAAGCAAAATTTTGTTTGTACAGCACCACATGTGATCATGGGCATAAAATATGAGCACAAGGAAATTGCAGATATAATTGAGGCAGTACCTTCTGTGTGATGTGATTGACCCAAAGTGAAGAGCAGTTGCTGAGGTCTGGCCCTTGTGGATCCCAGATTCCACCAGGAGCAAGACAGAGAAATGTTGACACACCTGCAATGACATAGATGACATAAGATACAATGCATCTTACTAAGATCCTTATCAGGATTATGGATGCTTCAACCATTATTCTTTCCAGTGTAAATATCATTTCTATGTAATGTCTAAAGAGCATTGCAAATATTGTTTCTTCCTCCAATATATTGGGTTCTTAATATATGTATCCAGGCCAGAAAAGATCATTACAATGTCACCAAGACACTGCAAAGTACATTTTACGACAAGCTGGGAAAAAGCCCCCCCCCCCCACCCCTGCACCTTTAAAAGAAAGGGGAAAATTAGCATGATGAAGCTAACTTAGTTGGCACACACCTACATACAGTGAACATACGGTCTACATCCATGCTAAAATATAATGGGTTCCAAACATCTTTCTCAAGTAAGAGCCAGAAGCAATTACCTGTAGGACAATGCCATTTTACCCCCTCCTTTTAAAGGTATGGTAGTCCATAATTTCAAATTAAACTCAATAAAAATTAAATTAAATTTTCATGAACTCTATTGGGCTGGTTCAGATATACATTCTTGAGCACAAGTCTTGGGTTCATTTGCTTGACTTTTCTCCTCCCTCTTTCCTTGGTAACCAGTCGTGGTGAGCTGAAGCTATCATTCTTTGTTGCATCTGGAATGGGGAATTCTGCTTTGTTAGTTTACTTATCAGGATCTTAAAGACATGGACAAACCATGTTTCGATAACCTGTTATCTGTTCAATACTAAACAACATCTGTTTGGATATTTTAACCAAGTAGAATCATAATATGATTTTATATTTGAAAGAGTACCTTCTTCTTTACCAGCCTGCCCAGTCACTGAGATCATCAGATGAGGCATTCCTGGTAGTTCTGCATAGATCGGTGGTCCATTTGGAGTCCACTTGGAGGAGAGTCTTTAGCATATCAACTCTCTTTCTATGGAACTCCCTGACATTATTTTGTTTTTGGCACCTGTTGAATACTTTTTGAACATTTAAAGAAGCCCTCCCTAGATAACCAGCCACAATTTTATTGGCACAAATCTAATTTTAAAGGTTTTAATTCTGTATTTCAATTTTCATTAGCACTGGTATTTTTCTCCCCTTTTTATTGTTTATCACTAGGTATTTAATTGGATGTAGAGTGGTATCAGTCCATTCATGCATCCATCCATCCATCCATCCATCCATCCATGCATGTATTTTAAAGGGCTCACCTACAGTTCCCCTCGGGCACGGCTGCTTAGCCACCTGTCCTTGTCGGGTCTTAAACCAAATGATTTCGCGAGCTTCCACAGTCTCACAGCTCTCTGCCCCTATTGCAGGCAGCTGGGAAGATGCCGGTGGCAAATGAGTGGTCATTTCCTTGGGTGCGTCCAAAGCAGGGGAAGGCGTAGTTGTACTCCTATTCCTTCTGCCCAAAGCTGATGCAGTGGTTGTGTGTGTAGTGCTGCTGGTAGTAACTCGGGCTGTGGTGCTTGTGGTAGTCCCACCTAGACCCATTGCTCCAGATGTTGATGCTACCAGTTCAAAGCAAAGGCAAATTAGAAAAATGTTAGTATCCCGGATTCTAGCAGTCTCTTGATCGTGGTGTTTCATAGCACAGGATAATCCTGCCCTTTAGGAAGATTGTCTTCTTGCTACTTTTTTCTCCATTTGCCAGTATTATCTCTTGTATCCTAATGATCACATCACTCAGCCCAACAGGAAACTGCATAGAATGAATGAAGGAAAAGTAATCTATGTGGTGAAATATAGAGAAGTACCTTATGCTGGAGCATGTTAGGTCTTCTCTGCCATATGCCTGCTGATTAGGTAGCTGTGTCACCACTGTGTGCAAAAGAGCTCTTCACACAACTCTTCAGGTATTTCTCAGTATGTTTTTTCTACGTGGAGGTTGCATCTAATGTGTGAAGTGGGAGTGAGAAGAGTGAGCTGGTCCGTGTCCTTGTCTTGCCAGGGTTTGTCTTGTCTGAATTCCGCAGCATATGCTTAGCTGAGCATATTTAAACAGCAGCCACCTTTTAATGGCAACCCATCATGTTGCTTTACCACAAGGAGTTGACAGATCTCATCAACGAGGTGAGCTATTCAGTTTGCAGTGGCAGTTTCTTGCCTTCTGCTTGAGAAGAGACTTCTAGAGAAGGTGGCACAGAGGCCCAGTCCACTCCATGTCATCACCCTGAACACTGGTCGTTGTGTGGAGTGGATCCCCCACCTGCTGCTCAGAGTTCTTCTCTCAAGCAGGAGAAAGGAGGCGTGATCCACCCCCACCCCCAATAGTCTGAGAAGTCTCTTTTTAAGCAGGAGACAGGGAGGAACAATCCACCTTGCTGCCCCAAGCAGGGGGCAGTAGCATGGACCAGATCCTTGGCTCCCACTTTCTGCACGAGAGGTTGTCCTTTAGAGCACAGGCGCAGATGACCTCTCTGTTCCATGTCACTGTCCTGAGCACAGGGCACCAGTATGGAGTGAAGGCTGAGGAAACGCCCAGCAGTGAGCTGGGGGCAGCTGCCAGCTGTGCTCACTGGCCAGCCACTGTTGCTCTTTCCAAGTAACTCATGTCTTGTAGGGCTTGAGCCATAATAGGTCATGTCTTCTGGGTTTGGTTGACACAGTAGTCCATCACAGGTCAAGCAAACCCTACAATGAACTGTTGGCCATTATTGTGGTTGCCAACCAGTATAAGAACATGATAACCATGAATGGGTTTGTATGATGCAATAAGCAGCTAGTGATAATACACAGCAGCTGCTTCTTGTGTTCTACAAACTCAGTGAAGGAGTACTTACAGTACCAACATTTAGAGTTTGCTAGTGAAGGTCAGAACCACTCAGCTAATATTTGTGTTCCTTTCCTGTCACCTTCTCCATGCTTAGTGGTATAGCCAAGTGGTCTTCCAATTGTTATCAAGCAACATATTAACAATTATCTTAATGGTTATCTTTTTTCTGATTGGAGATTGGAACTTGTGCCTCATCCCATGCATAAGAACTTCAACAGGTTCAATGAGCTAGTGGGAGTAGCATTGGGAGTAATGCATATTGAATTGGGGACCATGATAGAACATGTCATCTGGGTTTAGAAAACTCTGCCATGCTGACAGCCTACTGCTGAGAATTTCCCACCATCTCTTATACTCATTCCAGGATAACCTTCCCAAGGGACTCCTTCCCTACTTTTGAGGTACACTGTCTTGTTGCATCTTTTCAGTGGTAGTATTATCTTCCCTATATATCTTCACGGGAAAGTTGTATTGGGATAGCAGTTCAATCACCTTATATCAGGCATCCAGACTTAGATAAGCGAAGTTGGAATTAGACCCGTGGTATGTAACTACCACGGCTCAGGGTCAATTTAAGGGAGAACACCAAAAGGGCAGGGCTGAGTGATTCCCTGTTTGCTGCTGCTGCTTTTTCTTCCTTTAAACCAGAAATTATTATCACAACCCTTAGGAATGTTCCAAATCTGTGCTGGATGGTAGAAAGTATCAGTTTCATTAAAAAAAAAAAAAAAAACCTGGATTGAAGCATAAGTCAAAAACCAATTTTATGAAGACCCTCAAGATACACGATCATGCTAACTGCATGTGCTTTAAATTTCACTTACTCATTTATATGATTTAAAACAAGCTTAATTGGTTAGTTGGAAAAGAACAAGGCATCTGAATCATTTACATATAAATGGTTTTTCACTCTGGCTGCACCTATGATTAAATGCCAACCTGCACAAACTTATTTGACACCCTGCAGTATAGAATAGAAATCCAACCTCTGGATCAAATTTAAAAGGTTGAATTCAGGATGAAACATTCTGGCTAATTTTTGGCAGTATGTGGGAACACTGTATCTTACACTGTGCTCACTATTTTATTTTCTACCCCACATTTCACCATGCTCGGCTATATGAATGGTGAAGTTTAAATCCAGAGTATGTGAACAGATGCAGATAGCCTATAAAGCATAAAAAGATAAAGTAAAATGTGGTTTGAATAGCTTTAAAAGCACTGACACTAGCTGCATATGATGAAGCTGAAAGAACTTTCAGCTGCTTCCCTTACATTTTGAATCCCAAGGGGGGAGGGGGTCCTGCTTTCTTTCTGCTTCCCAGAAAGAAAGTGGTCCTTTTTTTCTTTTGGGTAGTTTGTGTAAAAAAGATGCACATCGCCAAGGTAAAGCGCGGTTGCCTAGTTGGGCTGAGGCACAGTATGGGTGCAAGAGATAACAGACACTTCTAGGACTCCCGGCAAAATCCTGTGATGCACGGGGAGAATACAGTTCCCCTTACAATGGGCTTAATATGCATGGGCCATGCTTCATGCTAAATCTATACCTAGAGCAAAATGTCAGGCTACTCAGATGACAAAAATGCTTGTTTGAGGCATATAAGAAATGTTGGTCAGAAGCCTAGACACTGCACAGAATGTAGTTATATTTAATTTTCTCTTAGGATTAGGATTTTCCATTCTCCAAGTTAGCATGTCATTTTATGCTTTGTGCTTTCACCATGCCTCATTTCTTGGTACAACAAGAGCTTCTGTTTTGGATTTACAAAATTGTGTTGCTGTCAGTATCAACCAACAGAAAACAACAGCTCAAGCAGAAAGTGTAAAAGAGAGGTGGTGACATACAGAGTTTTGAAATGGAATTCCATTATCCTTTATGCATTAAGATGTGTGCTTTTGTCCAGATTAAAATACGCCAGAAGAAGACATGGCTGGCTGAATCTTGGGCAATATAAATCTTGTTAGGAGGGGGAAGGGGGATACCATGCAACCTTGCTTCAGGCCCCCATTAGGTAATCTCACAGACAGCTCTAGAGACACCAATACATTCTGGAGGACACCAAGATCGCTTATCAAAACAGCAATTTCTGTGCCAGAACCCCACTCTGGAAAAATAAAATGAAAATGAAAATCAAGTGCAAATAAGATCACAAAATATGAAATGTTAATTACTACTTATGTAAACAATTTCATTGCAGACTCTGGAAAGACAAACTCTAAGGCCTAAATTGAATGGTCCCTGTAGCTGCATGAATGGCTTATGGATTTCTTGCACACACAACACTAGTAGCACAACAAATTAATTAAACCATTTTAAACCCAGCTGCAGGTTCCTCCTAGACCAGTGATGCTGAACCTATGGCATGCGTGCCACAGTGGGCATGCAGAGCCCTCTCCGTTGGCACATGAGCCAAGTCGCCCCAGCATCGCCCCAGCAGCCATGCATATATTTGGAAAGAGTAACGGTGCCAGGCGACGTCACACATTAGCCATGACTCGCAGCAAGGGGGGGGGGTCGAACAGGTGGCCAGAGGCAGGCGCAACAGCCGTGGCGGGTGCTCCAGGAAGGTAGTGGGCAAACAGTGAGCGGGCATGCCGAGCGCTGGTGACGGCACCCTCCTCCTGCCTCCTCCCAGTTCGCAGCATGTGAGCGGCCGCCCAAGCTGCCCTCCTGGTGCAGTGGTGGGATCCTGCCAACTCGGTAGCCCGGGCCGGTGGCTGCAGGGGGGAGGGGGGAAGCTGGGCAAAGGGAGTGAGTGACGGGGAGCAGCAGCAGCAGCTGGAGCGAGGAGGAGGAGAGAGAGGGTGCTCGGGATCGATATGGTGCTTCCTGGGGAGGAAAAGTGGAGGCTGGAGCTGCTGGGAAGTGAGAGGAGTGGGCGCGTGGCGGGGACCCCCCTCCCCACCCAACCCCACTCACCAAGGCTTGGCAGCACCGTGGGGGCGCCTCGAGGAAGATCCCAACGGAAGCATGGAAGGGATCAGCGATAGCCTCTCCTCACCTTTAGGTCTCACCCCCCCCCCGAATTCTGCCCCTCCAGTAAAACTTCAAGCGCTGCCAAAGCTCCTGCGGCATTCCTGGTGGTTGGTTTGGGGGCGAGGAGGGAGGGAGGGAGGGAGTGCGTGCACCTGGTTGCAAGCAAACCCGGCATCCCCCGACTTTAGGGCACTAAACGTGAACATGGCTCCTTCTCTGTTAATGTGTTTTTCTTTTAAGACAAAAGATGTTAATATATGAGTTGCTTCTTTCTAAACTAAAACCTCAGTATTCAGGTTTTAGTGCAGTGTTGGCCCTTTGTGATAAATAAGTGGGTTCTGGGTTGCAGTTTGGGCACTTGGTCTCTAAAACGTTCGGCCATCACTGTCCTAGACTACGGGAAGGCAGGGAGGGCAGATTTAGAGCTGGGCTGCAGGGGAAGGACAAAATTGCCTCACACAAGTCAGCTGGTATCTCTCAGCTCTTCTGAACACTGTCTGAGCCCCTGGATTCCGGCAGCACTTGCTATACTCACTGGGGTGGTGCACTGTGGGAAAGGGTTCACCAGGCACTGGAAAGAGTGGCTTCTCCTGCAGCCCCACTCCCAGCACTGGCATGATGCATGAAGCGACTTCACCAGTGCTGAGAAGAATGGCTGCCCCACCACCCCAGCCCCACCTGAGTCAGTTGCACTTGGGAGGGCGGGCAGCATGCAAGGGAATGAATTCCCAGCTTCCCCCACCAAGGGAATAAAGGGA